CATCAATCCATCCATCATCCATCCATCCATTCATCATCCATTCATCATCCATCCAACCATCATCCATCATCCATCCATCCATCATCCATCATCCATCCATCCATTCATCATCCATTCATCATCCATCAATCCATCCATCCATCATCCATCCATCCATCCATCATTCATCCATCATCCACCCTCACATTCATCATCTAACCATCTGTCATCCAGCCAGCCATTAACTATTATGTATTTGGCATTGACTGTATGCCAGGCTCTACTAGGTACCGGGGACAGAGTCATGAAGGAGAGCGCGCAGCCCAGCCTTCTTCCCACCCCAGTGGTTTCTGCCTTTAAGCGTTCCCTGCTTAACTCCTCCCAGCCGGTGCTGTGCCTGCCCCAGCCTGGTGCAGACCCAGACACTGACTCTGATTCTTTTACAGCAGACACGGCCCCTGGGGCTGAGGGGCCGGCAGCTGGGGACTCCCAGGCTGTGCGCCCCTACAAGCAGGAGCCCAGCAGCCCCCCGCTGGCGCCTGGCCTGCCCGCCTTCCTGGCTGCCCCGGGCACCACGTCCTGCCCGGAGTGCGGCAAGACATCCCTGAAGCCAGCGCACCTGCTGCGACACCGGCAGAGCCACTCCGGCGAGAAGCCACACGCCTGCCCCGAGTGCGGCAAGGCCTTCCGGCGAAAGGAGCACCTGCGGCGCCACCGCGACACGCACCCCGGCAGCCCCGGGCCCGCGCTGCGCCCGCTGCCAGCCCGTGAGAAGCCCCACGCGTGCTGCGAGTGCGGCAAGACCTTCTACTGGCGCGAGCACCTGGTGCGCCACCGCAAGACGCACTCGGGAGCGCGGCCCTTCGCCTGCTGGGAGTGCGGCAAGGGCTTCGGGCGCCGCGAGCACGTGCTGCGCCACCAGCGCATCCATGGCCGGGCAGCAGCGGCGGCGGCCAGCACCCAGGGGGCGGCAGCCCCGGGCCCGGATGGTGGGGGGCCCTTCCCGCCCTGGCCCCTGGGGTAGCCGCTGCTGCGTGTTCCAAGCTGCCTCACCACCTTTGATGCTGCCCCTAGGCCCTCCCTCCTCCTCCCAGCGCCACCGCTTGGCGTCTTCCCCTCCTCCTCCTTCCCGCCTGCCCGCCCTCCTCCCTTATCTGAACTTCCCAGCGCCTTCCTCTCTCTTCCAGCTCCTTTCCCCACATTTCACTTTCCTGCTCAGGTGTCACTAGCGCCTCCGGCCTCTTTCTGATGTCTTCTCCTTACCTCCCCTCCTCTCTCCTGCTCCCAGCCTCCCTCTCCCTCCTCCATTCCTCTCTCCCGTCCTTTCCCTGCCTCAAGAGCAGGGGTGAGGGCCTGGGATCCCTGAGGGGCAGGCGAGGAGCAGCTCAGGGGAGCGGTGGCAGGCCAGGCCCCCTTTATGAAGCGGAGGCTGAGGGAAAGGGATCTGGGTCTTCCCTAGGAATCCTCCTTCCCCAGGACAGGTTCGGGGCCGGGGAGGCAGAAGGTGATGGCTCTGACAGGCTGGACCCGGGGCCTGGCTGTAGGCTCCTTGGTCTTGCTGCCCCCTGTGACCTAGAGGCATGGAATGGACAGAGATGCCTGCCGCAGTGAAGCTGGGTGGGGAGAGCAGGTCACCAGCATCCAGAAGATAATAAACTCACTGTGTAGACCCGGAGTCTGAGCTCTGCCCAGTGCAAGCAAGTCACCTGTGTCCAGAGAGTAATAAAGTCACTGTGTGTAGACCTGGAGTCTGAGCTCTGTCTGGCGAAGCTGCCTCCCAGGGCTGAGCGTTGGGGTTCCCGGGACCTCTGGGGCCAGCTGTCTTGGCTCCCACTGCAGACTCTCCTGGCATGAGAGCGGCTCTGGGAGTCTGGGTGCAGCCGTGGGAGGCAGTGAGGAAGTGCATCCTAAGGAGCGAGCCGTCCCCACCTCCATCCTACGGAGACAGGGATGAGGCTAGTGTTCCCAGAAGGGGCCTGCTGAGCACCACGCTGAGTCAGGTTTTCGTCTGAACCCTTCTGCCTTCTGGCTGGGGACTTGCGGGCTGGTCACACCCTCTGAGCATCAGTTCTGCACCTGTGAGTGATGATAATGACACCCACCTCCCTTGCTAAGGCCACTGTTTCTGGGGTGGCCTGTGGGGAATTCTGTCACGTGGGGAGTCCTCTCTAGCTGGAGCCATTGGCCGAGGCGGTGCTCTGCATGGGGGGCAGGCTTTGGCCAGTCGCGTCTTTCCAGGGAGCTGCCTCTTCGCTTGTCCCCAGCTGAGTGAGCAACTCCGGTTCCTCCTCTCCAGGGATGACATCGCCAGCTTCTGCCAGGTGGACAAAGGGCAGTTGCTGGGCTTTGGAAGATGGAGGATGGGGCTCTGGTCTGACCACTGCCTCCCGCCCAGTCTTGGGGCTGGCTTCACCCTGGTCCTTTCGGCTCCTGCGTGTCCAGTGCTTGAGCCTGGCAGGCATTTGGTGTCAAGCCCTCCAAGGTTACTGTCTTGCAGCCGAGCCCCCGAGTCAGTGCTCTGTGGCCGAGCCCCTCAACGGCCACTGCCTTGCGCTCTGCTTCAGCTTCTGGCTCAGAGTCCAGCACTGGGGCAGGTATGGCCCATGCCGACTGCAAGGGCATCTGGGAACACAGCCACCTGGACAGTCCAGTGCACATCACAGGAGCCTGGGTCTGCCTTCCAGACTCATTGTGGGGAGGGTGCCAGGCTTTCCAGGAAAGGCAAGTGACTACAGCACCCATCTCTTCAAACAGGACTAGTGATGCCCCCCTGGAAAGGGCCTGTTTTTGAAAATTCAATCAGGCTGGGTGACAGTGGCTCATACTGTAATCCCAGCACTTTGGGAGGCCAAAGTGGGCAGATCACCTGAGTTCAGGAGTTCAAGACCAGCCTGGCCAACAAGGTGAAACCTCGACTCTTAACAAAAATAACAAAAGTTAGCTGGGTGTGGTGGGAGACAACCTGTAATCCCAACTACTTGGAAGGCTGAGGTGGGAGAATCATTTGAACCCAGAAGGTGGAGGCTGCAGTGAGCTGAGATTGTGCCACTGCACTCCAGCCTGGGTCACAGAGCAAGACTTCATCTCAAAAGAAAGACATGAAAAGGGAACGAATGCAAAACACTTACAGGATCTCAGCATGTTGGTTTCACACTGAGAGGTGAGGTTAAGGATGTCGCCATGCCCGCTGTGTAGGGGAGGAGGCAGGCTTGGAGAAGCCATGTCGTCTGCTGCAGGCCTTCCGGAGGTGACTAGGAGGCAGGAGAGGGTGAGAGGTGAGGCTGTCAGGCCAGGGTCTGAGGATGGGGTTCTGATAACAGCACACACTCAGTCTGTGGGGCCAGACCTTTTAAAAATCCAGCTTGTAGGCTGCGCACGGTGGCTCACACCTGTAATCCAACCACTTTGGGAGGCCGAGGCAGGCGGATCACAAGGTCAGGAGTTCAACACCAGCCTGGCTAACATGGTGAAGCCCCGTCTCTACTAAAAAATACAAAAATTAGCCGGGCGTGGTGGCACATGCCTGTCATACTTGAGAGGCTGGGGCAGGAGAATCGCTTGAGCCTGGGAGGCAGAGGTGTAGTGAGCCGAGATTGCACTACTGCAGTCCAGCCTGGGTGACACAGCGAGACTCCATCGCCAAAAAAAAAAAAAAAAAAAAAAAAAAAGGAAAAAAACCCAACAGGTTCCCCTACAAACATCCACTCTGATGGAGCAGGTGCCATGAGGGCCGTCCTGTGACTCAGCCCACCACGTCTGTTGGACCCACCACATCTGCGATCCTTATCAAACCCAACACCACAGACCAGAAAACATCTGAATTGTGGTTTCCTGCTTCTGTCTTTTTTTTTTTTTTCCTTGAGATGCAGTCTTGCTCTGTTGCCCAGGCTGGAGCGCGGTGGCACAATCTCAGCTCACTGCAACCTCTGCCTCCCGGGTTCAAGCAATCCTCCTGCCTCACCCTCCAGAGCAGCTGGGAGTACAGGTACCCCACCACCACCACCACCACCACACCCAGCTAATTTTTGTATTTTCAGTAGAGACGGGATTTTGCCATATTGGTCAGGGTGGTCTGGAACTTCTGACCTCAGGCGAGCCACTCACCTTGGCCTCCCAAAGTGCTGGGATTACAGGCGTGAGCCACTACGCCTGGCTGCTGTCCTCATTGCTTGAGGGGTGAGATTGTTTTAAGAACCTGCCGGTAGCATGAGGTGATGTTTTTTGTTTTGTTTTTTTTTAATTTTCTGCTTCCTCTCCTGGGGGCCTTGGCACTAGGAGCTCTGTCTGCACCCAGCAGGGGTTGGTTAATTCTACTCATTTTCCCATGGGTGACCACGTCTCCCCTCACCTCCTCTCTCCCCAGCTAAAGGGTTCCAGCTATGGGGTTCCATACACCAGGTTCAAACCTCAACTGTGCTTCTCCTTGCTGTGGGAGGAGGCTGATGACAGGAGTATCTGGTCAAGCTGCTCCAGTCTTGATCTCTCTCACAGGTGGTTGCTAACTGGGTCTCAAATCCATTTCATCTTTTTTTTTTTTTTTTTTTTTGAGACAGAGTCTTGCTCTGTCACCCAGGCTGGAGTTTGGTGTTGCAATGATACCTCACCACAGCCTCAAACTCCAGGGCTCCAAGTGGTCCTTCCACCTCAGCCACCTGAGTAGATGAGATCACAGGTGCATGCCACCCTGCTCAGCTAATTTTTGTGTTTTAAAAAATGCAAATGGGGTCTCACCGTGTTGCTCAGGCCGGCCTCAAACTTGGCTCCAGAGATCCTCCTGCTTCAGCTTCCCAAAGTGCTGGTATTAGAGGTGTGAGCCACCACAACTGCCCCCAAATGCATTCTAATTCCACTTCTCAAATTCGCCTGAAACTGTGCCCTTCTCTCCATCCTCATCCCCCACCACCATTGTAGGTCAAGCAGCTTCCTCTCTCTCCTTGGACAGCTGGAGAGGCTTCCCAATTTATCCCTCTCCGGCTTCCTCTCTGCCCATCCCTGTCCACTCTCCACACCGCAGCAGTCGAGTGCGTGAGTGTCTTTAAAAGCACATGTGTGTTCACATTACCTTCCAGCTTAAAACTTATTTCATGACTTCTGACTGCTCCTGTGATAAAGACTAGAAGGCAGGCGGGACACTGTGGCTCATGCCTATAATCCCAGCACTTTGGGAGGCCAAGGCAGGTGGATCACTTGCGGTCAGGAGTTCGAGACCAGCCTGGCCAATGTGGTAAAACTCCGCCTCAACTAAACATACCAAAATTAGCTGGGCGTGGTGGCCAGCATCTGTAATCCCAGTTACTCAGGAGACTTGAGACAGGAGAATCGCTTGAACTCGGGAGGCGGAGGTTGCAGTGAGCCAAGATCGTGCCATTGCACTCCAGCCCAGGTGATAGAGTGAGATCCTTTCTCAAAAAAAAAAAAAAAGACTAGCCGGGCGCGGTGGCTCAAGCCTGTAATCCCAGCACTTTGGGAGGCCGAGGTGGGTGGATCACGAGGTCAAGAGATCGAGACCATCCTGGTCAACACGGTGAAACCCCGTCTCTACTAAAAAAACTACAAAAAATTAGCTGGGCATGGTGGCGCGTGCCTGTGGTCCCAGCTACTCAGGAGGCTGAGGCAGGAGAATTGCCTGAACCCAGGAGGCGGAGGTTGCGGTGAGCCGAGATCGCGCCATTGCACTCCAGCCTGGGTAACAAGAGCGAAACTCCGTCACAAAAAAGAAAAAAAAAAAAAAAGACTAGCAGGTTCCTCATGGGGTGGTCCCTGCCTACCTCTTACCCTCCCCTATCCCGAGGTGGTCTGCATTCTAGGTCCAGCTGTCACTCAGCTCCTTCAGCCTTCCTTCCTCCACTCCACTGCAGTACGTTTGCACAGGCCTTTGCCTCCACGTAGTAATAAAATGTTATTCTTTCTTCTTCCTTTTGCCTGGTAAACTCCAACCCCTCCTTCAGGCCTCAGCCTGGAAGTCACCACGCCTCAGAGAAGCCTTCCCCAGCCTCTGCTATGCGCACGCCCAGAGCCGTGCTCTTCTGATGGCACTGAGCATTTGGTTAGTAGCTCCCACGAGACTGGGGGCTCCGTAAGGGTAGAATCAGTGCTTGGCAGAGTAGAATCACAATCAAATGCCGCCCCCAGTGGCCTGTGTCACACGGCTGTGGGGAGGATGAGTGAGAACTAAGCAAAAACGAGCTGGAATTGTTGTGAGTCATTCCTTACCCCTCCAGGATCAAGGGGTTTGGCCTCCAGCCTCCCTGAAGCCAGGCATTGGGTCCATTCTTCCACTCACCGAGCTCTGCCCATGGTGGGGAAATGAGGACCATGCTGCCGGCTCCACAGCTCAGCGTCCACCCACCGTGGTTCTCACGTTTGGTTTTCTGTGAGGCTTTGGACAAATGACACGCTCTCTTTGACCTTCAGATCCGTCAACCGCTAAGTGGGGTGTCTAAGTCCACTCAGGCTGCTCTGACAAAATATCTTAGACCAGGTAATTTATATACAACAGAAATTTACTGCTCACCTTTCTGGAGGCTGGAGAGTCTAAGATCAAGGCGCTGACAGCTTCAGCGTCTGGTGTGAGTTTGCTCTCCACTTCGTAGATGGTGCCTTGTTGCTGTGTCCTCACACGGTGGAAGGGCCAAGAGAGCTCCTCTGAGCCACTTTTATAAGTGCATGAATCCAGCCAGGCACGGTGGCTCACGCCTGTAATCCCAGCACTTTGTGAGGCGGACAGTTCGAGACCAGCCTGGCTAAC